TACCTGTAACATGATATAAATGAAATAATTTTCACAGAACACTTCATCTGGACAAAGTCAAAATTATCTTGATTCGTGAGTGTTCCTCAACTGTTCTAGCAATCAAGCGATGCTGACAAATGTTCTGGAGGCGATTGAGAAGTTCAACAAGCTGCAAGATCATCGCAGAGAAGAGATCAGGATGCAGTCGCACCAAGGAGTCGCCTGAAATCAAATCATCCCACGAAGTCATTCAGGCACCCAAGCAAAATGGCACGCCTTCAAAATATGCAAATCAAGCATCTCATATCGCAGTCTGAAAGGCGCGGTTTCGCGAGCAATCAATCGAACGCATGGTAATGGATTGCACTGGAACAAAACGCGCGGCAAAGATTTTTTTCAATAAACGCAATTTTTTTCTACCGAAATAACTCGTCATTTTGCAGAAAACTACCCTTTATTCAAAAATCCCCCAACAAAACATCAATAAAAACGAAGGGAAACTACCGAAAACAAACCGGTTCGACATCAATTCACGGGAAGACCAGAAAAAAAGGATATTTCTCACAAGAAAAAACTTCATCGTTTACAAACACTTTTCAGATCACAGCAGCAAAAAATCGCGCAAAAATCTCTGATTAAAAAAAAAAAAGTTTCGCAGCCGCGAGTTTTCTTTTAAAGCCTAATCGAAAACCGGCCCTTCCGAGTGAGTAAAAATTAAAACTTCGAAAAAAAAACCAAAATTCACGATACACCACAAATTCTTGAAATTTCAATCGAAAAAAGAAGAGATCCTTTCTCTATATATAGGCTTCAAGAGGGATCAAGAACAGTTATGAAAAAAAAAACTTGGAAAAAAACAGGAAAATTCTATCAAGGAGAGATCAAAGTTCGATTCAAAACGAAAAAACCTAAACACACGCCCAAAAATTGTCAAGAAAAAAATTTAATCGCGACCGCAAAGAAAAACACAAGAAACGAAACCCCCAACAAAAAATTCAACAACATATCCCCGATCATAAAGGCGGGGAAAAAGAAAAAAAGCTCCCATTTTTCGAAGCCCAATCCCACCACGCCCGCAACGATTCGGAAATCAATTTTCATCAAACGCTTGCCATTCGGGGGAGAACAAATCAATCAATAAATCAATCAATTAAAAAACCTCGTTTTTGTCATCGGGTAACGCAGTCGAGAGCCGATATTTTTCTTCAGTTGCTTTGTTTTGTCGTTCAGTTTTTGTTTTTTTTTCGTTCTGTTTTTGTCCCAACAACTTCATGCAAATTGACAAGTAGTGACTTCGTCGTCAGCGGCATTCGTCCTTGTTAAGCGAGAACTCCTCGGTGTTTAAGCCTGTGTTTTCGTCCGTCGATTTCGTCCAGTCGTCAACAACAAGAAATCACGAGGAAAATGGGAAACAGGGAAAGAGACGAAAAAAAAAATAAACGTCAGGAAACGAAAGAGACAATATAGCATCGTAATTAAAGTGATCACTTGATGGATGGAACAAGGAACACTTGATAATAGGCGGAAGCAATAGTGTGTTGTGTGTTTCATATCTTCCATGTCTGTGCTCGTGCGGACAACGGAAAATCAAACTCAAATATTGGATTTGATCAAATAAAAACAAAGCAGCTCGTGGAATGGAATAAAAAAAATGAAGTAACCAAGCATCTCTTATTTCTAATGGTGTTGTTTTTCCGGCAAAATTAGAAGCAGGTTAGAAAAAAAACAATACTGTCAGAAAAGAAGCCAAAAATTCTGCAATAGGAGTAAAATGGGTGCAGAAAACTGGAAAAAAATTACGAAACATTTCAAATGCCCCCAAAATTCTTTCGTAGAGCGATTTTCAAACAGTCGCCTTTGAATTTCCAAAGCATCAGCTGTTGATTGGCACCTTCAGCGTTTCATTCCCAGGAAATTATCAAAAATTTCAAATCACAAACGCAAATTTTTTTTTGAATTTATTTATCATCACACTCGGCATCAATAAGTACTTAAAAATGCAATCTCCTATGATTATGCTCGAATCTTTTGAATACAATTCCCGAAAGCTAAGCTAGTGTTCGCCAAAATTATTTTGCGTGCAGAACTTGAAAGTACACCGAAATATACATGATAAATCGCGAAAAAAACGGGAAAAAAGGAACAAAAATTGGCTAATAATTTCACAAGACCAAAACACAAATCTGCAGAATAAAAAAAAAACCAGTTAAGTCCATTCCTAATCCTGAGTGCGAAAAAGAGTAATGTTGAACTAAAAATAAAAATTTTCTAATATTTTTAAAAGAATACATTTCTTGTTAAAAGAAATTATTACTTTAAAAAAATGAAAATTTCTTTATTTAAGAGAAGAAATAACTATTTTCAAATATTAAGCTACTGTATTAAAATTTATTTATTTGGGAGATATCTCGATCCAAACTAACACTAATTGTTACGACAACAACAGCAGATTCTTTCCGAATTTCAAAAAAGCGGGACAAAAACTGGAAAACAGTGCTTTGAAACATTTCCAGAGAAACGCAAAAGCAGTAATTCGTCAGAGCAAAAAAACAAAAACAAAACCCTGTGCTGTGCAGAAGAAAAAGCGTGGGGAACCTTGCAGCAGTGTACTTTTTTTTTGTTGACTGTGCTAAAAGCAGCATCGTCTTCACAGAATTGCTACAGAAAAGTAGAAAACCGACGAAATTATTCTCAAAAGTTTCTACCAAATCGAACAGCCTTCCCACCAATTTTAAAATTTTAGCAAATTCTGGGGGAAAAAAACGCATCTGAGACATATACCAAAAAGTTTCTTTCTTTCAAGCCAAAAATAAAAAAAAAACCCGAGAGACCTGTTATATAAAAAGTCATGCCAGAAAAAGGAAAAGCTTTTTTTTTTCTCGTTCGCACACACACAATTTTCCCCCGGGAAAAGACGTTTACTCACATGCGGGTTTTGCCAGTTGTTCACAGCCTCCATCATCAACATCTGCTTCACTGCTCATTTTTTGATTTGAGTTTTGCAATTGATTTGTGTGCGTATGTGTGTGCGTGCGAGGAATCAGGGAAAGAAATGAGAGAGAGAGAGAGAGAGAAGAGAGGCATATAAGAAGCGGGGTTTAGTGAAGGACAACGACACGATTATTATTTTTTTTTCGACGGATTCCCAAATACAGTATTGTACGGTACTCGCATTCTAAAAAGCGAAATTATTTTGGAATAAGGTTATTCAAAACGAGCTGCGAAAATTTAAAAATGGAATACTGCACTATTATGACGGCACAGAAAATAGAGCGTAAATGTGTAGTTGAAGTTTTCAGGTGTTCCGAAGTTGCACTGATCAGACGAATGCTCGCAAACATATTCAACAACAGTACAGCATTGTTCGAATATTCGTGTAAGGCACAGAAACTGAAAATCTTCTTCCATTCGACATTCCGGGTCGGAAACATCTTGAAGATTTAAATAGAAAATGATTCCATAAAATTCATCTGCATAGGAAACGTTGCGGAGCATAAAAAAAATTGTCAATCCAAGCTAAAATTTCAATTTTCAATCCAACATTTTCAATCACAACTGCATACACAAAAATCATCGAAAATAAAATACAGTGATCAAAGATTGCTTTAAATTCCGTGAGAAATTATCATTTCACATCATGTGGAAAAGCATTCTGATAACTCAAGAAGTCCTTTCTTTAGAAAAAAATATTTTCCTGGAAGCGCTGAAGCATTGAAAAAAAAATTTACAATGTTCAAAAATGCATTCAATGATCAGTTGATCACTGATCACGATCAACAATACAAATACTGTACGCGTTATCAACATGGACTTCAAGCACATTATATACGCATCGAGTTATAAAAAATTTGCAAAACCTTAGGACAAGAAATCAAAATTTATCACGTCTTCCGAGGGAGCTCATCCTGAAACAGCTTTATTTTTTGAAAAATATCAATCAATAATTCAAAGGCAAAAATAATATGCTTCATGGAAATATACGCTGCAAAATTGTTCTTCGAAAATTGGCTGGATTTCGTGACGGGTAAGTCAAGAAATCGTCTTTCACGGGCGGGTGATTTCACTTGAAATACTGCAGTTTTCACCAAAAGATCAACTCCAGGAATTTTGCGAAACATTTCAACGCAATAGCAAAATTTTTTCATCGTCGCGCGAAAATTAGAAATAATACGCTACAAGATTTCATCCGTGATCAAGTGCTCAAATATTTTATCGAACGCGCATTTATTTTTCAAAAAAATTTTTAAAATCAAATTTCTTCACATGTTACCTTGAAAGTCAGACATAAGATCAACGCTGAAGAAATTTTGATGCAAGTTCAAAAGGTTGCTTTCTTCTTCAAAGATTAATTCTCCGTATTAAATCGAATATTATACGCTCTTTTTCCCCAACAAAATGTTGAGTAAACAATTAAAAAAACATCTTCATTTCCAGGTTGAGATAAAAGCTTCAGGAATCATCGGTTCCTTCCAGTGGTTTTTGTATAGATCTCAAGGCATAGTAATTCGGATATGGAAGACAGAACTTTCAAATTTTCTTTCAAATCACAAAAAAAAACAGGCGCGTGAAATATTCGAGCAAATACGACAATTCGTCCAAGGGCCTTTGAAAAAAATAGCATTCGAATAATTTTTTTTGGCGTGTTCAAAAACTTCTTCAGAAACGGAAGGAAAGATTTCCTTTCACTAAAGAGTCTCAATTCTGGATGAAATCTTCAGCAAAGTTTCCGTCTTCGTCAGTCTGATTTTCTCTGTTATGTTTTTGGCATGCAATAAAAAGGAAAAAGAGATGTGTATATAGAGCACGTCGTTCAAATATCGTTCACACACGAAAAAAATAACACCTTAAAAAAGTTTCAAAACATGAGTGTGTTCGTGTGTATGTTGGAGGGAAAGGGCGGTCATCGCAAAATCATCAGCATCATCATCATCATCCTCATCATCATTTGGCTTTTTTTTTTGCCCTGACATTTTCCTCATCTTCCCCCCCTAAACAAAAAAAGACACCCTCCGCCCCCCTCACCTGATGCTCATTCGGTTGAAGAAGCTGCGGACGGATCGTTTCTTGTGCTTTGCCAAATCGTGAATCGGCGGCTCGACTTCCGCTTCTTCCAGGGCATCTTCTATGGTGAGCTGACGCCGAACAACTGCTGCGGGATCCCGGAATTTGTCCTTCTCCGAGTGGCCGAAGGACTTGGTGAGGCGACTCATGCGGAGAAAGGCGGATCTCTTGTTGGCCAGGGCGCCGTTTTTCGGGGTGTCCGGAGACGATGTCGACAAGCCGAGCGTCGTTCCATTCCCAACGCTCGTTTTGACACCTGGCACAGAAAAAAAAAAGGAACATCAAGTTACAGAGGAATATCTTGATATAAAACTTTTTTTCTCAATTCATTACGAAAAGACAAAAAATTGCCTGAACGCATTATTCTGAAAACCCTCTTTAGCTCAGTGTTCCTCAACCAGTTGCCCGCGGCTTCAAAGTCAGACATAAGATCAACGCAGAAAAAATGTTTATCCTACTTCAAAAGGTTGCGTTCTTATTCAAAGATTAATTCCCCGTATTAAATCGAATATTATACGCTCTTTATCCCGAACGAAATGTTGAGTTAACAATTCAAGAAAAAAATGTTTATTTACAGGTTGAGAAAAAAAGCTTCAGGAATCCGGTTCCTTCCGGTGGTTTTTGCATAGACATCAAGGTATAGTAATTCGGATATTGAAGAAAGAGCTTGCAAATTTTCTTTTAAATCACAAAAAAAACAGGCGCGTTCAATATTCGAGTAAATACGACGATTCGTCCAAGGGTCTCCGAAAAAAATGGTATTCAAATATATATATATATTTTTTTTGCCGGTCCACGAGCGTCTTGTAAGCCAATATTTGACAGAGATTTTCTACAGCGTAATAAATTTATCAAAATTAGCAATTGATTCCGTTATTTTCTTTTGGAATTTCGGATGACGATGGTAGTTGAATACAGGCTTCCCCACTCGAACCTCCATAACTCAAATTTTCTCGGGGCCTTTGGCTATCATTTTATTGACACAGGAAAGAAAGAAGCAGCTGCAAAAAATGCAAAAAAAATGTTTTGAAAAGAAGTAAAAGACTAATCGGGCAAATGGACCCTTGCCCCCAAATTCAGCATCCTGTCAATTCATTCAAGAAGCAATTTATTCAAGGCCCAGAATATTTTTAGCCATTACAATTTCATGTATTTCTTCGTATCTTTTCTGTGACATGAATAAATACATGCTTCCCTAACTTCGAAAAATACAAAAAGTCAAACTTTTGATGGTCCTTTTGAATTTTGAATTTGAGAGGCTCGACTGTTATTTTTCAGCTCGAATTTCCCAGCTCGGTTACTTTCTTCCTCATCACATAGGTGTCGCCAGAATTGTGTTGCGCTGGTTACGGCACCCTCACAGACAGGATTCATTCATTATTTTTCAGACACGTTCATCATTCACGCGACATCTGCTGAACATTCCACGAATCAAGCTCAGATGGAAAGCACTTTTCTCATCATTCTCTCACATCCCAAGTAAACCTCGGTAAAACGAATCTCGTCCACACTCGAACACGTCACGTGAACGACAATTGCAAAAAAAAAGTAAATTTATCTAAATGCCATAAACAGATTCCATGCCACAAAGCGGCATTTTCAAGGCTTCCGAAGCCATCAAAGAAGAGTACACTAGAATAATTCGTGCATGACAAGCTTCAGCTGCTGTGGAGCAGGTACTGATGTACTGAAGTAACAATAAAACAACGCGCTTTCGTCCAAAAACCTAAGCGTACGAATAATCGGGAAGCATTTGCATCGGTTAAACGGATAACTGAGACTGCAAAACACGTAAAAACAAAAGGAAATTGCCGAGACCAAAAACTTGAAGATGTTTAGTTATTCCAGTCAATCGGAATTTTAGTTCGTTGCTTGGCTGACAAAAGAGATGTTTCACGAACTGTACTTCCGTTGATGATGGTGATACGGCAAAAAATTCTCATCTTCACAAGTGCAAGCAAATTAAATCGAAAACTTTGAAATTATTAGTATAGATCTTTAAAAAAAACCCCTTCATAAGAATTGCAAATTTTTGATCTCCCGCGTTTTTGCAGCTTTTATTACCGCGAAATGCTCAAAAGGGCATCTGTTCGGAAAGCAGGAAACGGAGGCAGACATTTAATGTACTCACGGTTCAGTAAGTTCATCTTCTACTGTATAAATCGTTTTCCAATGCATTCTCTTCCATATTCTTCCCCAATTTTTTTTTTAATTGAACGGATTCTTCGTCACTTTTTTTTTTACAGTCAATCTCTTTCTAAAGACAAATGCAAACGGCTCACATGTTATTTCAGCAAATTGAAACTTTCAGAATTTTCTGCAAGGTTCCTTTTAATTTTTTTAAGGGATTCGAAGTGCATTAATTATGATCTCAAAGCAAACCTTTCCGGTTTTTTTCTTAAAGTCTTCGCGTTTTCTTGAAAATCGTCCTGAATTATGAACAGTTTTACCACAATGCTCTGCAAGGTCATGACAAATTTGAACTCGAAAGAAAAGCTTTCTGAGGAACACACTTTTTAATTCTGGCGCTGAAAATGAAGCTAAAAAGAGGGATGGAATTTACGAACACACAACCACACGTATTTGAAGATAGGTATCTGATCAACATTGTAGGGGATGTTTCCACTGAACTTGACGAGTTCCCTCATTAGCATCAACCAATGTCTGATTTTCGCCTGCCGGTCGAAATGCATGAGATAAGTATTTTACTATCAAATTTTCCTAAATGACGCAAATATGAAAAAAAAATCATCGATTTTTTAATTGAATCTTTTGGCTGGAATTCAATAGCGCTATTTTAGGACTTGGCATACTTTGCGGGAATTCCGAAATTAGAGAAAATATAATTTTCACATCCTGACCTGATTTTCACATCCTGATTCTAACAGTTTGCCAAATAGTGTATTCACCTCGCCAACTTCGTGAACTTAAAAACTGGCTTTTCAGGAATGATCCACAGAGCTTGCGGTAGTTGAATTTACATTTAATCAATTACAAAATTTGTCCTCACAATACATGTTTTTTGTCAAAGGGATAACTTTATAGATGTCTAGTCTAAATTTAAGGTTGGGATTTCATACATGAAAGACGAACAAGATCAAAATCCTCATCACAGTTATTTTATTCTAATTGTTGATAATTCGTTTCCTCACTCCCAGATGCTTTTACCATCATTTCACGGCCTTTTAGGGTAATTAAATATTTTTCTGCAGTATAATAACCCTAATCAAAGAAGACTTCCTGACGTGAATTTTCGCGTGGATTCGCAATTCGGCCTATTCTTTCATCACTCGATCAGCATTATTTTCAAAGTGGATGATGAAGAAGAATAGACCTCATTTCGTTCATCAACCTATTGAGGCCCCAATACATGAAGTAATACAGTTTTCATGCTTTTTTTTCTTCAAAAAATACTGTCCCCAAAAATCTATTATGCGCATAAATATCCAGATACGGTATTTACTCAAGTACCATGTGCACCTTTTTTCTCTAATTTCAGAAGAAAAAAAAGAGTTGCGCATCATAAGCCGGAACAAATTTTTCAAGAAGTTTTAGGAAGTTATGTGTGCATTATAAGTAATTGTAATGGAGAAATTTTGAAAAAATGTAACAAGACAACTTTTTTGTACTAAAAAAGTTGAAAGTTGATCCGATTTTTGTTCAATTCATGTCTAAAGTCAAATTTTTCGAATTTATTTTCGAAATTTTGTGGTTTTAGATTTACTAAAAATTGGGGTGCGCGTCTTACTCGGGTGTAAGATTTTAGCCAACTTTCCAACTGAAAAACCCCTCTGCGTGCCTTACTGGAGGGCGCGTGGTACTTGAGTAAATACGGGTAATAATAATAATGATGATGATGATGATGATGATAACAACCGTGGACGCCATCAAAAGACTTTTGCCGTCGGAGGGGGAAGAAGGCCGGCGAGCCGCCGTTGTGACAGCCGCCGTTCGAGTGGACTCCTGCGCTGTGGTCGTCGTCCTCGTCGACGAAGCCGGAGTCGTCCCCCAGCGGCTCGTCCAGGCCTGGGTCAAACGTGGCCATCGGCGCCGGCAACAGAGTCCCGATCACGTGGCACAGCCGCTGGTATTGACCTCGCAACAGACTCGCTTGTCTAAACGCAGAAGGGACAAACAAATATTTATTTCTTCCAAGTTCTGGTTAAAGTTCCAAATCTACAAGTACATTATTCAAATCTCACTGTTTTTAACATAACAAGTCATAGAGCTCAAATGCAGAAATTTCCACGACCCTGAAAAGACTGGGCTTCATTCCCATGGAAATTACTTGCTCAGAAACTGATCAAAACATTTCCTTGCCCTTGGGAGAAAAAGAGTCTGGATTAACGAGAAAAATATGCAGCTCTTCTCACTAAGGGGTACCCAACTAATTCTTGGTATGTCCGACAGGTGTCGCATGAACCCCATATCAAACCGAAATAACAACTCATCAACTCAAACCGGACTCGCACTTTTAACAAAACCCTTACAAAGTAAAACCTCATCTTTAAATAAGAAAAACAGATGATACACAAAGAAAATCACAAACTTCGGAAGACTTTGACGTGAAAAAAATCTATGATATAATTGCGGGGTCAGCCGAATTCCGATTTACCAAAGCCCTAAAAAGAAGCGTCATTCTATCAACCTTTCCAACAAATTTTTTTGTCGCTGTTGAGTTTTGAATTAAACTGAGCAGAACTAAAACAAATGAAAACGTAATTCAAATAAAAAAAATCCACACATTATCCTCTTCGCATCAGGTCTTAAACTACACAGATGAGTAATCCCAAACTTAATAACGTCGGATTATAATTTAATGCCACCACGAACAAAAAAACAGTGAAAAAAATGTCAAGATAATCCTTCCGACGACCTGAAAAGCTCTCAGGCTAAATCCAACAGTTTCTAATGCTCACTGGAGCGGCAAAACGTGAATCAATCAAATCAAAGAGTTCGTTCATCCCCAAAAATCACGAAAATGAAAAAAAATAATAATTAAAAATCGCTCAACCAAAAGTCTTCTCCGAGACGATGAAAGACACATCAAATACACGCGTAACTCTCATGATCTCATTCGAAAAAACCAGAATGAAAAATGAATTGAATTCGCCATACTGACGACGAGATCACAATGATGATGATGATGATATTGGCATTGTATCGTACAGACCTGCGGCGAGAATCCGTAACGGATGATGCTTCTTTATGCGTGGCACTGCCGTTGGCAACACTGAGACCGTTCTTGAACGACGATTCCCTGACTCGGGAACACATTTTGCACATGGACGGTTTTGAACACTGCGCCAAATGCGTCATGCCTGCTTTCACCAGGCCTTGCAATTCTCGGTTCTCTCGCCATTGCGCTTCCAGGGCTTTTACCTGAAGAAAAAAAAATCACACAAAAAAAATTTAAAATATATTCAGCTTTCACTTTGAGAAAAATTTAAAAAATGAATCATTTCACAACGCTACTGAAAACACTTGAGGATGGCTTCGAAGTCCGAGTCTAAATTCCCTCGGATGAAGCAATGCATTAAAAACGTCGTTAACTAGAAGACTTCCCTCACACCTCCGTAATTTGAATTTCGTGGAGGTTATTCGGATATAATTTTATCGGCACAAGTCAGAGAAAAGGGCAATGAAAACGTAACTTGACAGAGTTTTGTCAATTGGACAATTAAACCCGCCTTGCTTCCAACTTCCGAAACTTATTCAGGCCAGGAAGCAACTTAATGTCCAGAAAATTCCCAATTACAATTTCATCTGACACTTAGTTATTTTTCCCCCAACAAAAATGCTTCTTTCCCTAGCATGAATTTTTCCGTTGACCCCTTTAAAGTTCGAGTTGAAGAGTTCCGACTGCACAGTACAGTACTGTAATTAATTTCCGGACACATTCCGGATCTGTTTACAGATCAAAAATTGGGTGTGCTTTCTGAAATGCAGGACAGATGTCGCTCGATATCCCTACCCCCAACTGAACTGAAACATAGCTATCATGAATTCAACCTAGCAGCAAAAACCTCGCATAAAAAACACTGATCTCACATAAAATGAGTGGGTGTATGCATACATGTCAGATGTCCAGTTGTAATTAATGTTGTATTGTACTTTCTTTTATTTTGTTATCAATTTGTGCTTTCCTGCTCTGAAGTGATTAAATGTCATTGAGTATATGAATTTGCTGATCATAGAATTTTTAATCCTGTTCTAATTTTGTTTGCTGGCGTTTCCAGTTTTGTACATCGAAAATCATTGGAATTGTTGCCAGATTCTGAAGAACTAAAGTCATTGAGTGGATTTGGGTTGGGTGGGAAGGTGGTCTGATTGTGGTAATCTGGATTGAACCTTGTGAACGCTGAAAAGTGGCAAATAAAGTGTTCTGTTCATTCATTCATTCATTCACATGAAAACATCAATGTGAAACATTAAAATGTTAAATGTTCACAGGGAGCACACATTTCAAATTCACAAAAAGCGGCAAAAATTGAGACGACACCTAGATGATGGAATATAAAATTCAAGAGCCTAGGACATCGGGCGCTGAAGCTAAAGGAATATTACTGATCTTTCCCGAAACTTATTCAAGCTTAAATCAAAAACGCCACGTGATACAGTACTGTATAAATCTTCGAAAAAAAAAATCCTCAAAAGAGAAGTAATTAACTCATTCCAAACCAAATTACACCAGCTGAACCCATCTTAAATTGCAGACAATCTAGCAAAATCGAGACGACTCCCACAGCCCGAGTTCACGAAACTATAATGTCCTAAAACCCTTTATTTCTTTCATCCAGAATTTGTTTTGTTTTCGTTTTGCTAGTGAATCAATAAAGAACGATGAAAGACATCAAAACTTTCGTAATGTTTCCCATCATACTCCCCCTCGTTAAATTCGAAAGTAAAACGATCTCTCGTGATTATATATAAAAAACTAATATCATCACGCCTCCGAAAATGGAACCGAAGCCTCTGTTCAAAATTTCAATTCACTTTTTTTTTTTTGCTCATCACTGCCTTTTCATTCAAACAAAAAAAACACGAAAGGAAGGAGATCCCGATCCGGAATAAAGTCGTGAATCCCCCCCACGAACAGTAGCAGACCCGGGATGGAAACCCCTGATATACTGCACCTGTATAGCAATAAAAGGAACCTTGCAGCATTTCAATCCCGACTCAGCAGTTTCATCGCGAGATCGAACCAAGAGAAAGCGTGACCGGGATTTCTACAGTAAGCCGTAAACGGAAAGAAGTGAGGAATATTGTATACGGCAATCTTTTCATTCCTTCAAATCCCATTCTTGAAGAATGCCAGGGAAAAAAAGGCAAATCAAAATATATTTTTAGGCGTGAAACATCACTGCATGCAGGGAAGATGCGTTGCAAAACCACGCGCATTTGCCAAAATACAGAAATGGTTAATAATTTAAAATCAATTTCGTCATTTAAAAAAAAAGAGGCATGGTTCAGAAGGACCGAAATAATTTCAACGGTCACATAATTCACTCAAAAATTATTTAACTGAATTCGAAGACTGACAATCGCATCCAAGCATTATGTAAAGGAAATGAATTTCGTCGTTCGATTCAACGTGAAACTCACCAATTAAAATTGTTTTTCAAAATATAAAATTCAATTTCAAATTAATCTAGTATCGTAGGTTTCGAATTAAACAGTACTCCCATTTTTTTCATTCTGCACAGGTATTCAAGACGACATTGAAAATTTCTGCACGAGCGTTCGTCCAAAATCTGCTTTCGCTTAATACTACAGTATATTATCCATACAAAATCAAAACAAGCAGCATCAAATTTAAAATTTAATTCACAAATAATTCTGCACAAACTCGAATTAGTTCTTCAGAATTTGGCAACAATTCCAATGATTTTCGATGTACAAAACTGGAAACGCCAGCAAACAAAATTAGAACAGGATTAAAAATTCTATGATCAGCAAATTCATATACTCAAGGACATTTTTCTTCAATACTGCAACGGTATTTTAAGACCACATCGAAAATTTTAAAACCATGCAGAGTTTGTCCGAAATCGACTTTTGCCAACTAGATTACTGATTCGAAATCACAGCAAAAAGAACAGAATCCGAAATTTCTTTCCACGAATATTGATGCACAAATGTCGGATCCCGGACTTTTTCCAATGATTTTAGACGAAAAAAAATTTGAAATTGAATCAAACATAAATTAAAAAAAAATAACCAGCACAGGATTTAAAATTCAATAGGGGCCTTATAGTCCTTCATAATGCACACGTATTCAAGTCCACATCCAAAAGTTCTAAACCAAATTTTGTCCAAAATCTGTTTTCGCCAACTGAATTACTCATTTGAAATCAAAACAAACATTCCAAATCTTAATTCACGAATATTAAATATGGAAATCTCAGGATTTACAAAAAACAATTTTGAAATGGAAGCAAAGACGGTCGGAAAAAACAGGATTTGAAATTAAAAAAGACAAATTCATATTTCCAAGGAATTTCGTATACAACACAATAGGGAAACTGGAAATATGCTTCAAACAAAACAAGGTTTCACTATTTCTCAAATAATCACAGTCAACTTCGACCAAAAATTTCTACATCATAAGCACGAAGTAGGTCAAATATTATTCGGCTCAAGGTACATATTTTTTTTCAAAATGCTTTTTATTAAAAAAAAAACACTCATCCTGAAGATGGACATCGTTTAAAGCAGATCCGTTGATATTGAAATCAACAACACGAAAAAAACCACGTGCATGTTATAAAGTGTGATAATTTTTAAAGCTTCAAAAATCACTTCTTAACCACGTGCTGTACTTTCATGATACTAGCACCGAAAAAAAAAGATTTAAAAAAAAAACGCAGAAAACACCGGCAAAAGGAAAACAATCTCCCACGAAAGGTCAAAACGTTGCTCATTGGCGCCCAGAAAATTCGTGAAAAACATAAAAGAAAAAAACACGTATGAAATATACAAGTCGCGACACATCAGACAATGCATTTGTTTCCTCCGTCTTTCGGTCACGTTCCACGCCAAGAAAGAAAATGCGATGCGATAATAAGCCCTTAATGAACCACAACAAACCCTGGAAAAATGACTTACAATTTAAGAAAATAAAATAAAATAAAGGAAAAGAGGTCCACGCGAGCGACTCCATGACCCGGAAATCCAATCTCGACCCAATTACAGTCACAATAAGCACAGAACCGAGCTCCGAGCTTTTTTTTTCGTTTTCTTTCTCATAAACAGCTATTCCGCTGCCGCAACACCGGCCGCAATTTACCAGACAGCAGGATTCCTATCATTTTACACTAGGTAACCCATTTGTCAAATTTGCCATTATTAAACTCTTCATATAGGAGAGAAGGGAATTACGATGCACGACAAAATACAGTACTTCACAATGTGAAAAAGAAACCGGTTCATGACGAAAATCCTCTCCTCAACATTCGAGTAACCATCCGAGTTGCTTCCAGAAGTGCGATCAAACCAAATCATATAAGAATACGAGGGTTCGAACAAAAGTTCTCGGAATTGAAATGGAAATGGCGTCTAATCCAGCTAAAAAAAATTATTATTCCTTAGAGAAAACATATTTTTTGGCACAAAAAAAAATCAGCCCTGCTTGACGATTTTTTTAAACGTTTTGCAAAATTCACACTGGTAGAATTTTGCTCTCCACTCAAAAGCCCTTCCTATAGTTTATTTTTATTTTTCAGCCTGGCTTTTCCCTTGGAATTTTAGAAATCAACATGGCACTAATTCCAAGGGTTGTCTCCAGGTCTTCCAAGGTAATTCCGCCATTTTCAGCATTAGCCGCCTTCACAGCCGACACATTGGCGGCTGTGAAGGCGGCTGTCGATGAAAATCATATACATGCGACAAAAGCGTTTTCAATCACTCTCCAGTAAATCGGATTTTACAGCATTCCTGCGAAATGAATGTTTGTCCAAAACACACAGAAAAAATATTAATAGTAAATATCTATTGTTATTTCGGTAAAATGTTTTCGCTTTTTTTTTAGTAGTCGAACTTTTTCCTGCGGTTTCTTCTTTTGTCTTGCGTTTTTTCAAGAGGCACCTTTTAGTCAAAAGTAGACAACGAAGTTTTATATCCTCTTTTAATCACGTGAAGCTTAGTGTGCTGAAACGTCTGATTTGTGCCAAAAAATACACTCGTTTGCCAATTTTGACGGCATATTTCATCAGTCTGCGGAAGCTCTTGAAAAACAAAATCCCAAGGCGTTGCTGAAGTGTCTTTTGAAACACGGTACAGTACTGTACTTCCAAACACGTCACTATACGCTATCTGAGCAATACTTCTTCTTTTGCCAGTATTTGCAATGCAACGACTTGACAAGAAACGCATTTGACTTCCAGATTTATCATTCTCGAGGACTCATGAAACGTTACTCCAGAACAAAGATTCGTGCCACGTTTCTTCGGCTCAAGGAGTGGTCCTGAATCATTCTGAGTCATGACCACGGGTTCAACGGAGCTCTTCACTGATCCACAAAAAAAAATAAAAAAAAATAAATAAAAATAAAATTTTGAAGTGCTGTATAAACTCTTTTAATATGAACTTTCGACGCACAGCATCGAGGAAAGCCTCAACCTTATTTCACCAGGCCCAAATTACGAAATCCCCATATTTTTTTTTTAAATACATCGTAAATTTTGAAGCAAGCCCTACCAAACAAAAAAAGTAGTGAGTTTTATATTATGCAAGAGAATTCAGCATATGTTTGGTTCGTTTGAACAAAATCTGACTAAGGCAGGCACAGTCTGACAAAAAACCAAAGTTCACACTGACTGACCAAGAATATTGTGCCTACCTTGGACACTAGTTACTCTTTGTACGAAGGTTAACCACGGTGTGTATTAGGAGACCCTTACTTCTATTAAATTGTAGTAATAGACAGAATGAAGAGATTTATGCAACTGAGGGAATGCATAATTGCAGCTGAACACTATTTTTATTTTAGGAAATCACTCAGTTTGGCAATCAAAAATATCTGAAAATGCCATCAGAAAAGCAGCATCTATTATAGGCAGGTTTGATGTGAAAAATTTTAACCAGTCATCAGTTTTCAAAATCTCCCATTAGTATATATTATTGTGTGAAAAACTCTTCCCTGAAGTCCCCAAGACTTCTTCAAATGAGATTGTACTGTAGCACAGAGTCCACCAGAATCAAGAAAGCAAGCACTATTGAAGCGACACCTACGCAAAGGGTGACAAAAAGCTCAGAAACTCTGTAGGGGTCAGTGTTGTATTGTCTTTAATGAACAAAAGAAAAAAGTGTCTTAGGATTTGTGAAGCTGATTTCAGGTGCATATACACACCAATATTCAGCCTGATTGATCCTGATGTTAATGCTTGGAAAAGAAGTGAAAGCACTGTGTGTGGTGTGCCCCTGCACCCCCCCTGGGTTTTTTTCCAAAGAAAAAAAAAAAAAAGCAAAACCCAGTCATGCTTTGTGTCCACCATACTGTATATGCAGTTCACAGGTTAGGCAAGGAGAAGTAGACCGACGGGAAGTGCAATGGAAAGAGGCCTGCTGTGTGTGTGTGTGTGTGTGTAGAGTGGCATGGCATGGCATTTCATGGCGTGATTGCAGGTCGTGTATAATGGGCTTTTCCGCTCCCGTTCCGCGAAAATTTCGTACTACCGATATGGGACAAAGAGAGAGAAAGAGAGGGAAAGAAAAAGGTAGATGTATAGACATGCAATAAGAAGAAGGTTAGATAATCCAGACCACGGCCTGCTGGCTTATTAGACCCCCCTCTTGGTTGGTTGCGTGTTGATTTATTTTTTTCGGCGGCAGCACCCTCTGGGCCCCCCTCGTTTTTGTTATTTTTTTCAAGTTTTTTTAA